CATTTCTGGCATAAGGCTGGTTTTGTGAGATGAAAACAACCTGGCAATCTGAAAAGAGTAAAAAATGGTGCTTTGCCATAGGAGACAGATAAATATTTCTATCACAGTACACAGTAGCTTTTGGCAAAAGATACGTTAATGTACAGCATACTTATTTTCAAAACTTCTTTCATAGTTTAAAGCTGGATCATTTAATGCACTCTATATTACTGTGTCTACATACAATTCAGTCTTCACTTGTAAACTTCTAAAGGTGTGATTCCTGATTTTGCACAGCTTGGACTTTTTCCACACTACAATAGATCCTGAGGTTTTTCTGCCCTATTTTCAAGAAACACAATCTCAATAATATAGAATATAGCCCTTAGCTTGAAAAAAGGGAAAGGAAGTGATTTTAAAGAGTGCTCAGGATTCCCCATGAAAATGTAAATCCTCTACAGTGTTTTATCCTCTTCTAACTCTTACTGGTATAAAAATAGAGCCTCTCTTGGTTAAGCCAAATTCATTTTCTGGGTACCTGCTATTAAATTGGATGCAATCATGAATTTTCAGTGGTAAAATGCTCTGATTTCTCCCTCCAATAAACTTCAGAAATGCACAAATGTATTTGTCTTGGGTCGAGGTGTGATTTGATCCTGTCTTCCTTCACTGAATCGGTTTATTTGGGGCTTTTGAGCTGAATAAGTTTACAATGCCACTCTGTCTTGTTAGACTTGAGAAAAACCAATAACGTATGTGAGCCCTGCACCTGCTGGTGCCCAAATCTGCAGTCAGCCTGATCTAAAACAGGAGGGGAAACCCAGTTTGGCTGGGACTTTGCTTGTTTGTTTTATTTCATAAGCCGAATTTTATTTCCCTTGGTGGGAAGTGCAGGTGGCATGGTTTCAGTCACAGCAGAATCTCCCCTTCCAAATCAAAGGTAACAGATGTCGTGGAAATATTAACTGCTAATGTCAACAGTGTCCTCCTGGCTCACAGAAGGAGCTTTGCAAATGTTTGTCCTCAAATTATAGGCCTTTTCTATTTTCTTAGTTAGGTGATTATGCTACAAAAGTAAACCTAATATTTTAAATGGAACACTGTTCCTGTAAGTATGTCCCTTTTTGTCCTTTTGACAACAAAACACTCAAAAGCTGAATTACTTTTAAAGAATTGTGTCTTGCCTTCCTTAGTTTCTTAACTCATAAAAGGCTGTTAAAATGTCACTCTTATTTTTGCAGAGAAAGTATAAAGTTAATTCCAGTAATTTCCACAGGAAGAAGAAGGCAGAGGTGTTTGTTGATTCACTGCTATTGAGATGCCCCAAAGCCACATTCCTACAAGAACCCTACCAGCTCTTGTATGAGCTGGGAATATTTCTTCTGGCCCAACAGAATTTTCTGAACAATCCTCAGTGAAGTAATTTCTTTTCCATGTGTTTTGGTTCTCTGGTTGTAAGAATGGAAAATGGTCCTTGCCTACCTCACAGGGGTATTGCACATCATGAGAATGAATCCATAAAAACATAAAGCACCAGGTGCTTAAAGACAACATGATCCTTAGCCTGAGGATTATATAGAGCTTTAAATGGAAGAAAATGTACTTTCATAGGCCTTGCAGTGCTTACAGCAGAAACCTTGAATAAAATGAGGGCACATTTATACATCTGTCTCAGTGGAGCAATAAAGTGGTGGCTAAAGAGAGAAGCATCTTGAGAACAGCATCTCCTGCACAGCTTCAGAGTCACAGCTGCCTCTGAGCTTGTCCTTATCCAGATCCAATAGAGAGGAGGTTCTGCAAGGGGAGGTTCCTGCACAGGAACCACCTGGTGGAATGGGCATCTTCCACAGGCAGCAGAACGTTCTTGTTCCAAATCCCTGGGGTTCTCTTTAGAAAGGAAATCTTTCAAGTACAGCTGTTCAGAGTGGCAAAAAAAAAAAAATGTTTGAACCATGGATGCAATTTTTGAGGCATGAAATTCAGGATGTTGATGAGATTATGTATCTCCTGGCTGATGTGAGGTTTAGAACCATTTCAGAATTATTCAGAATTATTATCTCCTCACCAAATCATTGTTGTTTTGGGGTTGTGTTTGTTTGTTTGACTTTTTTTTTACATAATGGACAAATATTTTGGGGTTGTTGTTTGTTTGTTTGGCTTTTTTGTTTACATAATGGACAAATACACATGGGAAACACCGTCTACAAAATAATTCAAAATAATAATAATGTAGTTATTGATTAGTGTTGCAAGTGTTTAGGATAACCACGAGGGTCTGCTCTAGTTTTTGGTTTAATTTTTGCTGATTCAGTATATTCTTTAATTTCTAATTAAAACCACTACTAAAAGCAAAAATCTCACACAAAAATTCAAGACATTCAGTTTCTAGCAACATCTTTCCTGCCAAAAGTTCTAGACTTGACAATGTCATCTGTAACATCACAAGAAATAAAAATGTTTTTCATCATTTCAAAGTGGCTTCAAATCTGAAATCAATGAGGTTGAATACATGCATCCCCATGCCAAGATTCATGCTTTTAAAATAAACCCCACAATAATGTCACATATATCATCTCTTCACTTGTACATTTAGCATTCTTCATTTGCAGAATACCAGATGTTTCCTGTGTAAACTTCTGGGCACATATGCAATTGATAAATGGAGAGGAAATTAATGAATTGAGAAGATAAGCCAATCTGGGCTGGAAAAGATGGTTTCCAGCTGTGAATGGAAGTGATTTATCATTGAGCTAAAGGATCAGCTTTTCTAGCTCAAACCAGCAGATACATCATTACATTTAATCCAGACTTCCACACAGATATTTAAGAGTCTTGCAACCGACTGCAGCAGAGCCAGAGTTTCACCCATAGTGTTTGCCTAGGCTGAAAGCCCATTCCCCACAGTTCTGTTGTTATTATTTATTTATTTACTTAGTGTGGTTATTTCTGTAGCAGAGGAATAAAAACCATCCATTTGTGCTCTCAGGATAGAAAGAGTGCAGCTGTGGCTGCTGCTGAGCGCAGCAAAAGGAGACTGAGCTCCATTTAAGCTCCTGGAACTGGATTCTCTCTCTTTAACCTTTGGTAATGTGAGGGGCATGTTGAGCTTGCCACTGTTGACACCTGCCCAAACCAGTGAAGAATTTAAGGTTTTGCAGACTAGAAACACATGGCTGCTTGGAAACTTCAATACCTGAAATGTGCACACATGCTATTATGATTTGCTTGGGTAAATGTTTGTAGAAAAGTGAAATTATAGAAGATACTTGCAAATATCTAGATCAGGACATGTTTTTGACCTGCAGTGAGGCTCAGAGGAATAAAGTGTTCCCAAACCTCACCACAACACCCCTGGTGTACAGGGAGTAGCCAGGCAGAGGTGAAGAGATGAGGTGGTAACTCAGGTCTTGGACTTTTTTTGCAGACACAATAGTACAGAAAATTTTGATTTTGAAAACCCAGATTACTTTCCATCTAACTCATCTCCATGACAAGCCTACTCTGAGCCTCTAAAGGTGACTGGGCTGGTGTGAGAAAGGGAATGAGAACCTGAGGTGAGGGAGACCCTTCCCAGACAGAGCTGTAAGCTCCATTTGGATGTATCTTTGCACTGTGTGTCCCACTGTGCCTTCCAGCGTCTCTGACCGAGGCCTTAGAAACAGCTCAGCAGGAATGGTCCCCTGACACTGCCACTGTGAACACAGTCACTAAGGTCACATTTTTTTCTTAGATTCTCTTTTACTTCTTATGCTACTCTGTCATACTAGGGAATTCAAAGCTCCTGTAACTTGCTCTTGGTGTAGGAATTCCAGTCCTTTGTGCAGCAGAAGCAGAAGAATGTGACTTAACCCCATGTCACAAAGAGACGTGGCAATTCCACTGCACATCCATCCCTCGTGGCAAAGTCACTGGAGAGATACAGATGGGTACCTTCCAGTGCAGATAAAGGTGGTGGTTTTGTGAGAAGCTACAAAAGAGATTGTTCTCTGCTGCTGCTCCATGACTAAAATAATTTGGCCCATTCTCACCAAGACATTGATAAAATACAGGTGGCTTGGGTAAATGCAACTTGGAGGAGAAAAGAAGGATCTTTTGTAAGCTTCTCTTCCCAGATCCTTCTGATTTGAAGTCCAAGTAAGTCTAATTAAAGTACTTTGTGTGCTGACGTGCTGTTAGGGTCAGGAATTTGGGTTTTTGAAAGGCAAACTGTGAACCATTTTTAATTTCAGTAAGTTGAACTCCAAAGAGAATTCTCTGTGGCACGGATACACACTTGGCCTGAAGTCCCTTGACTGATGAGAACAGCAACTTGAGGAACTACCAAGCAAAGGCAAAACTTGGTCTTTCTGCATGAGCAAAATAAATCCAAGGCACAGAATATGTTCAGTCAACAAACTAATCCCACTAGCACCTGAAATATTAGGACAAAAAGGGATTTCAGGCAAGGCCATCAAATTCCAGCAGTGCCCTAATGCTGCTCTAAAAGGACAACTGTGTCTTTTGCCAAACAAAATAAAACAAATAAGAAAAAGCCCCAAAGCAGAATAAAAAATACACAACAGTGGTCTTTCTAAGTGTGTCCTTTATCTGCAAATTGGCATGAACAGCTATAACTGCACTTTTAAGAATTATTTTCTGAAAAATGTGTGTTTCACCCCTCTATTTAAGGTTTTGCCTATTGCAGCTGTCTACTCTTATTTAAATTAACATTCAGTTTTAATACTCCCTTGACCCTAATAATGGATTTGATGGTAAGGTCCACAGGCTGTACATATGGAGCCCTGTGGGGTATAAAAAACCTGCTCCATTGTTGTTGGTTGGTGGCCATTCATTTAAATTTTACAAGAAACAGCCAGTATAAACATCTGATAACTTAAAAACTATCTTCTGAAACTTACTTTTTTCTCAGTCTCAACAAAATATTTATCCTTAGATTCAGAACTGAGGCTCAGGCCACAGTTCCTCCTGCAGTTCTGTACAAAATGCTGCCTTCAGAAAGCACAAAGAATGGATGTCATTACCTGATTAAGTCCAGCAGTGCATCTGCAGAGCTCATGATGGGCTTTCCACCCTCCTCAGTGCTCTCCTTCTGGGCTGCTCCACCAGGGTGGATAATGGACACCATAATTATTCCCACAACCACAGCCACAAAGGTTGTCCACAGGTAGTAAGTGACAGTTATGATTCCCAAGCGACTGGAAGTCTTGGCATCCAGGGCTGCCAGCCCAGACATCAAGCTGTGGGAAGAAAACAGCACAAATTGTATTTAAATGAACATTATTTTCCATTACATTAATGCAGCTGAAAGCCTAATTTCTGAATTATTCCACCCTGCCTGCTTCTCTGACAGCTGATTACGTGTGTCAGTGTTTCAATAAGCTTGCCAGTAACGCTGCAGCTGTAGTCTCTGTGTCTGAAGGGGCATTTTCCAAGTGCCAGGTGAGATCCTGGTTACTGGAAGGAACTTGCAAGCTCAGGCTGCACATGTGGGGACTGAATCCCACTGACTCTTCCCTGAAATTCCAGGGACAGTTTTACACAAGTTACACATGGGATGGCTCAATTCACAGGAGCAGTGGCAATAGTTACTAAAACTCAGTGTGTCATACTTTACACATAATTTTACAGAATAATAGAATAATTCAGGTTTGAATGGACCTCTGAAGAAAATCCAATCAACCCACTCAGCCCTTCCTGTGTGAAGTGGGTACACAAAATTAAAAACATTAACGGGCAATTTTGTCATATAGTCCATTCTTAAGCAAAAATAATAACTTTTTTTTTCTTTTTAAAGAAATTCAATGTATTTTTGCTTTACCAGGGAGCACATTGGGAGCAGACTGTAATTCAGTGTGCCTCCAGTCTAAAAGGGGACAGTGGATGGGATCCAGAGGAAACACCTCCATGGGAAGTGTGGCTACCCAGCTGGGAGCAGAGAACATGCTGTGATCACTTCAGCCTTTCCATGGAATCAGAGAACAACAGAGTCATACAATCATAGAATATGCTGAGTTGGAAGGGACCCATCAGGATCTTTCCTTTTCATTACCTCTTCTCCCTGCCCAGCACTGCCAGAGCATCACCAGTGTTGCACAGTTTGCCTGTGCCAAGCCATGCAATTCTCTACCATGAGATTTAACTCCCCCTGAGCTCCTCTTGTACAAGCAGATTAGACAGGGCTCTCTTTGGCCCTGAGATTTCCTTAGGCTGCTCTGACATAGACCCTCATGCAATTTCCAAGTGACCTGAGTCTGGGATTTGATTTTCCACTGACAGCAGTGTGGTTTGGGGCTTTAAATTGAGATTTCCCTTTGGATAATTCTCTGTGAATTCTCCAAAGCATACATCTCAGGAAAAGTACAGGTGAAATAAAATACCACATTTGTTATTAGGTGTGTCCAGCTTTCTTATCAAAACAGGCTTCTCTGTTCTCAAAAATATTTCTTAAGCTGCACCTCCTTGAATGAAACCTCCTTGACCTCACTCTGCTGAGAGAGGATGTCTAGAGCCAATGCTAAAGTGCAGCTTAACATTTATAGTAGATTTAATGAAATCAAATGGGTGGATTTAGTGTTCAGGTTCCAGCCATCCACTAGATTAATTAAGAAAATGTATTGCTTTTCTGCATTGCCAATCTCTCATCTAGCATGGGTTTTGTTAACACTATAGGAGCAAGGGTGCACTGGAGTTTGGATAATTTAGAAAATTAGCATCTCAGCAACTCTCACTCTTGTAACCATTGTTCTTTGCTTTTATTTATCAGTGGATTTGATAAAAATCCTATCTTTCTGTATGTCTGCAAAGCACTGTGTGCAAACACAGCACTGCATATTGAAAATACAGTAGTAGGAATGCTACTTTGTTCCTTGACATTTCCCTTGGATGAGTTCATGCAGAAGAGTAAATAGTTCTAAAACATTTTTTAAAATAAAACAGTTAAATATATTTATCTCAAGTTAATGTGACAGTTTTCTGTTAAAAAAGCCCTGAGTTGTTATTAGATTTTTAGGACTGAACTCTTCTCTCAGGCTGAGGTTCCACAGGCCATTGAGCCATTTTGACAGCTCATTTCTGCACAGAGTAGATACCTGTATTGTACTGGAGTACAGCACTGTTCCACCCCAACATTCCCAGGGGGAAAAAAAAAGAAAAATGAGAATCAGGTTGATTTTTAACCAGTTGGATGTTCTTCATGGTAACAGTTTCCAGGGTTCTTTATAGATACATTATGCAGGTGACACCAGAGGTGTGAAGGGCTGACTGTTGAGCAGCAGAGCTCTAACTTGCAGGCAGAGCAGTTCCTGGGAGAGGGCACTGCCAAGGAGATGGAGAATACACTCCCCTTCCCTCTCTGGTGCTGCCCTGGAGCCACTGTCACTGTGGGGAAGCCACCACTGTTCCTGTTGTCCTTGATGCTTCTGGGCCGTGTTGGTTCTACAGAACAACAGAGGGATGAACCCTGTCTTGATTGCTCACCTGAGAAGGATTTCCAGAAGTACTTAGGACAAAAATCCTAATTAAATATGTCCAACGGTTCGGGTGAGTTTAGGGTTGTTACCTCAGCCTCAAGATGCAGGGCCTTAGGATTTGGGAGGATGCTTTTCAGGTGGAATCTAATCTTACCTTGCCTCCTAGGTGGCAAATCCTGAGGGGGCTAATAATGAGATTGCTCTGTCTTGGGGATATTCATTAACAAGATCATCATCTGTAATGAGATTATCCTGTCACCAGATAAAGTCATGCTCAGTTCATGCTGTGATGAGAAAGTCATCAAAAGTAATTAACTATGGAGGTGCAGTGGGATAACTGGGATGTGACAGAAGCATGAGCAGAGGCCTGGGCTCAGTCAAAATCCTATGTTCTCCATGGCCTGCAGTGCTGAGGAAGGGACCACTGGAACCAGTTCTCCAAAGGCTGGGGAGTAACAGTGGTCATTTTAGGCAATAGCTCAGAATCATTTCAGAAAAAAGTGCCTGGAACTAGAATGAGACAGTAATCACTCATTCACTGGTTTTTGTTTGACTTCATGTGTTTGATATCAGAAGGAATGGGACAAAAGACACAAAGGTTAAGAGACATAGAGGTTATCACAGTTATTGTACAAAGCAAGTAATACACAGTCACATCACAGGAGATTATTACTGTTGTCTCTAGAGTTCTAACACTCACACCATGTAGCCAAAGGATGACAAGAACAAGTACTCTTCTTACTTCCTAGGGAACAGGGGCCAGGAGGATAAGCTTCCAGCTGGTTTAAACTAAGACCACTGCATCATGCTCAGGTCCTCCCTCAAAGTCTAATTTTCATCAGACACTCTTGGCTACATAAAAACTTCCTGAAGAGTTTCCCAAGATTCTTCTAAACCAGAGCAAAGCTATTCTCGTGGTTTCCACTGCTAGACTCTCATGAAACACACTGGAATGGAAAGCAGTGTACCTTTAATTTTTGTCAAACCTCAGAATTTGGTTTGCCTTGGAAGAACAGGCAGATATTTGATTCATAGATTGAAATAATTTGAGAAGCTGTGTAGTTAAGTAGCTTCCACACATATGATTCACGTGTAGCTATTTCCATAGCGTGTTTTAATGATTGCCAAATGGACAAAACAGGATTAAGACAATAAAAAGCAATCTGCAGCTTTTCTAAAAAATTACTGTACATCTCACTCCTTTATCAGTCTGGGAAAATAATCCACAAAATTATAATTTAATGTTCAGACACCATTTCTTAGCTTGTATAGAAAAAAACCTGTCAATCCTAAAGGGAAGGAGAAGACATCTTCAATTCTAGGAATTATATGTGACTAATTAAAAAGGTCAAGTCAGCTTCTACATTGTTTGAAGCATTTGGCATTGTATTAACCAAAGAACCAAGTACTAAGTTTCATGTCTGCTTTGAGGGAAATCCGTGTAAAACCCCCAAGACTAAAATAGAATTTTTGATGTAAAGAAGAAGGGAATTCTTTCCAGTATCTTGGAAATCTAATTAGTCCCATGCAAACAAGTAGCTAAACCCTTTTGAGCACCTCTAGGCTTGTTCTGGCTGTCACAGATAAGTATCAGGTATTTTATTTACAAATAAAAATAGAACTTTCTATCTTCTCTGCAAGTCTCTAGGTTTTTCTCTTGCTGTCTGATGAAAGCACATTTTTTGTCCTGTCTCAAGATCAAACCCTATATCCCCAGAAAGGGAAAATGCAAGAAGCTGCTGCTAAAACCCCATTCTGCATGTTTATTTTGTCTTCCTCTCCACCAGAAGCCATCTGGATGTTGCTTTGAAATAGATGGATTATGGATAAAGTTATCAGAAGGGATTAGTGTGATTAGAAGGACATTAATCCTGTCAAGAAGTAATGGTCAAGTATTAACCACCAACAGTTGTTCCTAGAATGATGTTTGTTTTCATTCATCCCATTCCCTCCCTCCCATTCTCATTTTGTAATTGCATGCTGTGGAAAAGACCTTCCTGAGCAAGTTCTGCCAGTGAGGCTGGGAAGTGCCTCCACAGCTACATTAGAGATGATTATATTCCAGTTGAGCATCATGCAAGGGAAGTGCTGCCTTCACTAATGCTGCTTGATCATGCAGGCAGGCTGTCGCTCACCTTTTTGTCAAGGTCAGTGCCTTCAAGTCTCAACATGATAATAATGTGCATTTAATCATCTCTAAATGCTTCACCAGTGGAACCCCCTCTAATGCAGGAAGGCAGTATCTCCATTTTAGAGACTTGGGAACAGAGAAATTAAGGCACTTTTAAATGAAGACAAACCGCTTACAGTGAAAAAAAAATCTGCCTGAAGTGATACAGATATTGCAGTGAACCATTACACTTTTCCTTATCTGTGACCAGCTATCTGTGCTTTCAGAAAACTCTTCTTCACTTCCATGGAGACACCATTTTCAGGGTAATGTTTGCAACAGAGAAAATAAAACTCTACAGTGATGAAAGAGATAAGAAACTTTCTCTGGCTCTTTTTATAGTTTAATGCTTGATTTGCTCTTAGTCTCTAGTGTAGCTGAAATTATTTCAGTGAGAAAGAGGGATCAGAATTGCTTTTTATTTTCAGGATATTACTTTGCTTTCTTCTAATATGAAAACCACCTACAGAGGAAGACCCTGCCGTGGCTGCAATAAAGCAAGGGCAGTGGTAGTGGTGGCAATATCACAGCCCAGCCCTGTCTGCTTCACCCTGCCCCATGTTCTGCCCTTCCTGACAGAGTTGTGTCACAGGAGTTT